TACACATGCTTTTGAAAATGTCATTATATTCATTACCTTAACAGTTTACAAAATTGTACCAGTTAATGCAGAATGCTTGTGTATTTGAAAGGTATTTTCTTTAAATATTTTAGATTTCTGACAAAAACAGTGAATACTTACAATATAAATGCTCGATCTACAGCAAGCTTTGTTTCATAAAGCAAGCCATAAACTTGTGGCTACTCACCGTAAACAAACTATAAACGACACACATAAGAAAAGGAACTCTATTATAACATTTTTGTTCACCTTCTACAAAGTGTTTTAGCAAGACCTAAACCCAACTAAAATATAAAACAATATTTAGCTATTTAAAACTACTTGTTTTGGAGGCCAAAAAAGACACTGTTGCAATGAAACTCAACCTAGGTACAGCAACAATATAGTATTCGCTATCAAAAGAACTATAAGCTATCACATTTATAAGCAAATGCCTTTGTGTTCATAGTTAAAACTTAGCATGTCATAAAAATGTTTAGTGAACTCTAAAATGGCTCACAGTGCATCTAATTCTACCAGCAGCAGCAAGAGACCCCTGGGTTTGCTAGCAGGTTCACTAACTCCTGAGCCCATCTGTTGAGGCAAGTTTTCCAGGACAAAGCCTGTGTCCTTTTTCTTTGCTGCTGCTTCCTCGTTTTTGGATAAAAGACATCCTCTGTACAGCTCCAAGAACTGAATCTCTAGACCGCTGTGTTTCCTTCCACCTGAATATGCTGACTTTTAGTTGCTACAGGCTGCAAAAAATATTCAAACACATGAATGCAAAATGCTACACTGCTTATGCAAGTAGCAACTGTAAACGTGCAGCTTGAAACATTCCAAAGATCTAACAATAACTCTTGAAAAATTTGCCATGCATTTTATGAAAAGCAGAAAGTCCTAATAATTCTCACAGAAAACTGGGGGTTTGATGCACTGGCAGAGTATACACGGCTTCATGTTTTCATTTCTAATTCAATAATGACTCTCAAACACAATTTACCTTAAATTCACTGCTATAGCAAAAGCCCACAAATATTTACACATTTTTTTAATACATATAAGCTACAAACAAAAATAATACATTCAACAAAAGATCTCTCACTCGATGAACCAGAGCAATGGGAATGTTCTACTTGTATTTCAGATGCAGGTGCCTACTGACATTACAGCCGTTCACACCTTTCCCAACAGGGCAACCTCTTCACTTTCATTTACCACAAGCTTGTTTTCTACTTTTTCCATGGTACTTTTTTTTTTTACCTTTTTTTTTTAAATCCCAAACCCAGTGAAAATACACAAAGCAAGAGTCCATTATTAACAGTTGACAAAGACTATTTAGGAACTTAAGTTAAAAAAATAATAAACATATAAATGCAGTCACTCCTTAAATGCACTCATTCCATAGAAAACTCCAAAATCTCAAACAATCCATATAAACTAGTATGACGTTTTTTTCACCCTTTATGAAAGGTGTCATTTTATAGGGAGAAAAAAAAAATTACAACTCCATCACAAAACCTTCAGGTTAAATAATGGAAGCAGATATTTTCATTTCATGTTGGCCACTGAAATACCTCCAAGGCCATACCCCCCAAAAAATGATCTCCATTTATTACTCAGCTTACCTCAAGTTTTACTTTAATATTACAGCAGTCTATAGAGACCTCAGTATGTATGGAGTTTCCTCTTTTTTCTTTTAATGCATCTGTCTGTTAAAGTATTGAATGATTTAGACCTAAACAGACATCCTGATGCATAGACTACATTCTTGTATGGCTTCTTAAGAAAAAAAGTAACTAAAAGGACATTAAAGAAAAAGCCCAGATCTTTTGCATTAAATCTGAAGGAATATTTGGCTTCCCTCTTTCTAAAATCCTACCTTTCCCTCAGTCCTTACAGTTACTAAATAGGAAAACCAGGAGAAAATAGTTGTTTTTACAGCAGCCAAAAAGATTTTTTTTTTTCCCCTCCAGATAGAGGGAGTACAAAAATAATTAGGCTTACCACAATTACTAAACTCTTAATTGGGCAGCATGTAAAATGTGCTGTTTATAAACTGAGGAAGGAGGACTGAGGTTATGGCTTTTTCCTTTACTTACTTCTGAACTACATGGAAGCCCATTAAAGTTGCAAGAGCCTTTATCAAATTAGATTAACAAACTTGGATTTATGTCACCTTATTTCAGAATTACTGACTTTTAGACATCTAAGCCTCAAACACCCTAAGCTCTTCTATAATCAAGACAGAAGTACAAACCACCACAGTGTGATTTATTTGACCTTTCTTCAAAGGAGAGGAATAGCTCTCTAGCGCTCCTTGTTTTTTTTATGGCTGACTGGGGGGGGGCAGGGTGGGGGATTCTAGGAATCACCTTTTAGATGACTAAGTTAGGAAAAAGAATTCCACCAACACTGTCCAATATTGGTTCCAGATACATTAATTTCAAAAACTTACCCTCTACTGTTAAAGTACCCATTTTGGATTCTAAGAAATCAAACAGTGTGCTCGGTGCAGACGGTCTGGCGTTTCCTAGCTCTTCTTCATCTTCAGGTCTTATTCGGCCTCGGCCCTTCCCTTTACCTGTAAACATGAGAAGTTATTTGTGAGTGGGGAATAAATAAAAAAGTGTACTCACTTTTTTAATTGATTTATAATATGTTTGTATTTTCTATCTTCAAAAAATTCTATCACAGAGAAAATAGATACAGATATTTTCCATTTAACGATATTCAAATCTGTGACTTCAAAGTCAAAAATTTTGAGAATACAATACACAGAGGCCTTTTCTAAGTATTTGCTTTCAAGTCTGCAATGCATTCTGACTTGCAGGAAAAAAACATCCATCTGTACGTACCCTTCTATAACTACATTAGTAATCCAACATACACAAATTCCTTTGCTCGCAAACACTGTTTTAAAGCATTTCTTCGCAAGTTTTACCTCTAGGTGGTGGTCCCTGAATGGGTTTCTGTTTACTGCTGTTCAGAAGAAAATTTAATGCTGCCTCTAGGCTGTTACTGTTATCCATAAGTGCCTGTCTTGCTGCTTCTTTGCTGAAACCCATCTCTGTTATGTGTTTTAGAGCCTTTTCATCAACCTGAAATAAAAGGTACACACAGAACTAATCATAAGATACAACAGAGACTCTACTGTTGTATCTGGTGTTGTAAAACACCAGATTTTACTTTAATTTTTCAGTAATTTTTAACTGAAACACTATTTCTTATTTCATTGATAATAAATATTTCAGTTTTATATAAAATCTTCACATACGTTCTCTCTTAGGTCCAAACAATTGGCTAGTAGAGGGGTTTTTTTAATATTCTTATGGTGATAATCTTTAATTCATCAGTTTTCAGTTTTAATATCATATGGTTCCAAGCACAAATTCTCTTAACTACCTCTTCCTTTGCTGTACACTGGAATAGTATGACAGATGTAATATGTAATATACTTTCTCTGAGATGAAAACTAAAAGGAATCTCTCAAAGTAATACTGGTATGAAAACTAGCCATTTGTTCCTGTTTGAACCCTTTCACATCTTTTACAGACAATATAAAACCCAGCTATACACTTCTTAAAACATGGAGAAAATATAATCACTGAAGGTTCTGTAGAAGAAAGGAAAGAAATACAATTTACTTCCACAGAAGCACAGGCTTCCTTATTCTAAACTGTACGGAGCATGATGACAAAAAGGCAAAGCAGGAATCACAGAGCATTAATTACAGAAAATAACCTTACATCTGCACTGTGTTTTAAAGCACTCAAGTGAGAACTGCCTCTTCCAGTGCGGACAGACCTATATGCACTAAACATGAAATGGGACTAGGCGCTCTGTCCTTCCTCATCCCATACCCAACCAAAATGATGAGTTATCCATCTACTGCAACAGCTATAGCCAAATACATTCTTAATTGGAGTCCCATGAACATGCCATACTGTGACCCTCAAAAAAAAAACCAAAAACCCAACAAAACCAAAAAAACAAACCACACACACACAAAAAGAAAAAACAACAAACCCAACAGAATCTAACCTCTAAGATACACAGCCCCTTCTTTCTCCCACTGCTTAAAAGAACACAAAATTTAATTGCTAAAATGATTTAAATTACAACTGTATGAGAGTTGTATGACAAATATTTAACCCTTCCTCTCCCTTGTTTTTCACAGTCCTATGATGTAATTCCTCCACTCCTCATTTCTCCTGATAATTTTAATGCATTCACTTTTTGTCTTAATTCCAGCTACACACTGTGCTCTGGGACAACAGATAGGAGCAGGTCTCCTTTTAGGGGCAGAGACAGAAAATCAGTGTTTGTTGTTGCTATCTCAATACAGAGATATCTCAACAGAGTAAGCCAGAAGATATAACAACTCAAATAACTTTCCTAACTCTGCTTAGCTATGCAAAAATCACTGTAATGGGCAAAACATGACTTTGGAGCGCTTGGCTACAACTCCCGCATGCTCAGCAATGTTAACTCCAATGGGTTCATGTAGCCTTCTTCATTCCCAAACACAACAATACTCTTAATTTAACTGTCCAAAGACTAAGTAAAGGAATAGCAATTTAAAAGGTCTTTGAAGACCAATGAGGCAGAAACACGACCTCAGTGTCTACAGGGAATCATCATCCCAGTTGACTCTGACTTCAAGTTGCCTAAATAATGTCTTATTTTTAATGACAGAATATAATAGTTCCTCCTCTGGGCCATTCTCCTGGATTCTTCTGCATGGCAACAAGGGTCCAACAAAGAGAAGTACTTCCTCAGCAAATCTGCTTCAGTCTTCTCCCCTTTGTAGGTAAGTAGTCAGTTTGTATGAGAATGAAGCTTCCAGCCGTTACTGCTGCATCACCTCCTTTCAACGGTGGAAATTCTGTGCACAACAGCTACGTTCAAAGACCAGTAGGAAATGAAGGCTCATATATACAGTACCTGTACTCTCAGCTATAGATTAAAAAAAAAAAAAAAAATCTTGGATAGGTCACAATTTGAGACCCAAGGGAACGGCAATTTCCCAGATACAAGGACTGTTTGAAAAAGGAGGTAGTATCTTAAGTATCTTTGGATGTCAAAAACTCTCCCTTCAACTTCTTTTACACAGCACAAATCTTGCTTCTCCTATACAAAACTGGAAGGACAAAAAAAATTGTAGGACATATCCTATAAGGACTATTAAGAGAGGAGGATGATTGACCTCTGCAATCTATTGTCTGTCTATGAATAAACAGGAAAAATTACTTCTTTGTTTCTGGTTTTGTAGATAAAGATACAGTGCTTCAGGTTTCTCAGAAGGTAAGACACCAGATGGATTAAAAACTTTTAACCATTCCTAAATATACACGCAAGTCAATAATATACATGAAAGTCAACAATCAAACCTACTTGATGTCACAATTCTAAAAAGACAAAACAAATTTGTTATCCATTGCTTTAAGATCTAAAAAACATTACTCATAACCAAAGACGACTTTCTATATCAGCTTAGTGGGTTCCTATTTGCTTCTTCTAGACAGGACCTAGATATGTTAAATGACATAACACAGTTTCAGTAAGTTGGAAGTACTGCCATTTTACAGTGCAATGTAAGACAAATTTTTTGCAGTTCACAGAAAAAAAACAGAACACACATTAATTTCAACAATTACTCAATTTAAATTTGGGGATGGGGGGGGTAGGGGTGGTGTTGGGGTTTTGTCTGTCTGTTTGGGGTTTTTTTTAAAGTCTGTTTAGGACAAGGTGTACCACTGGTGCTACACCGGGCAGAGGGATGACTAAATGACCTCTTGAGGTCCTTTCAGCTTGTGTTTCTACAATTCTGTATTGACATTTCTGAGCACAGTGCTGAAGGCAGCACTGCTGGAGGCTCTCCTTGGTGCGAGATGACAACACATACTATACAAACAAAATTATAGAACAGGCAGTTACTGTTCCTGAATTTCTTCTCATTGTTAAACCTTTTGGTAAAAGTAAATAAGGTGGAAAATATTCAACAACAAATGATATTTATAATCAATATTTTAATACTCGTCTACTGAGTTACTACATTGTTGCGATGCATCTTTCAGTCTGCTTTCATCACTCAAATCAGAATCACTAATTCTTATTGCAAACTTGGAAATTTCTCTCTGGAGATGTTCTTGATAACAAATATTCCTTCATCATAAACTTTTAGATTGCTGAAGTAATCAAAAGAGAAACTTCAATGACTGCTCATCTTATACCCACTTAATTCAATGCAGTGATTCCAAAGAACACTTCTCAGTAAGCATCATTATGAAATACATTGGAAGGTGATGTTTTGGATTAAGGGGCATAGTCCAGATTCTCCAATGGTAACCCACATTACTCAAAAGGAAACATCACTTGTGACCATGTAGGCATGACATTCCTATGTCACAACAAAAGTATTTCTACTTTCTTATTTTAAATATCAAAGTATTACTTAGTTTTCTCAATGTCAAAGAAATGGTTTAAAACAGATTCTTAAAATAAATATTAATTCAGAAGAAAAGCTACATTAAAGTATTATTTGACGTGTTGAAATTGAAGGATGAAAGTACTCCTGCCTAAAATGAATTAATAAATGTTAACATGCAAAACTGTTAAGCTTATTTAAACAAGAAAATAAAACTATACTGTAATGTTCTATACCACATATACTACTACTTTTCTTTTGTGAGGACTTGGTTTTAAATTTTACTCGGTAAGATGACATAAATTTTTATTTTTTTTTTTTACAAAAATCACAATGAAACTCGTAACTATCTCAGTAAGGTACAGAAGAACCCTAAGTATTCTAAACAGACCTCAAAATAAATTGAAAGGAAAGCCCTCATTCCTCAGGGTCTTTTGGGTTTATTTTTGTTACATTTGTTTTTTGTTTTTTAATAGTACGTGTTTACGGTTCTATTTAAGTCTTCCACCTTACCAGTTCTCGGTAGACACCTTCATTCTTTCCCTCAGGTTTTGTTATCTTCTCTTTCTGGAACAGTTCCCTGTTTCGATTCCCTCCAGCATTCACACTGAGATTACTTCTGCTGCTACCACCACCTCCTCCAAACGTCTTGGTCTTTAGATAAGCACAAAAATAACATTTCAGTCAACACAACTTATGAAAATAAGCCTTAATAATTAGCTTGTAGAAAAAGTGCAGAATATTTGATGCAGCAGTATTTTTTATGATTATGCTTTGCATCAACAAAAAAAAGCACTAATTTACACACAGAAAAAAGATGAATTTATTAGGTAGGTATTTTTTTCCCCTATGCCCAAATGAGGCTGTAAAAAGGGTATATAATTCTAGTTTTTATGACTTACCAAGCAAATTTGAAAAATAAACTAAAAGGAAAACCAAGGGAGGACATAAAAACCTGACACATTAGCACTAAACTTCCTAGCTATTCTTTCAGACAATGCAGGGAATCATGGGTTTTTGAAAAAAGCAGATGAAAATTGATAATCTATATTTTATTTATTTGTTAATATCTGTATTTAACTTACAGATTTAATAATCTGTGCTATAATTTTTTTCAGCACAGGAAGGACATGGACCTGTTGGAGCGGGTCCAGAGGAAGGCCACAAAAATTATCAGAGGGATGGAACACCTCCCCTATGAGGAAAGGCTGAAAAAGCTGGGGTTTTTCACCCTGGAGAAGAAAAGGCTCCAGGGAGAACTTATTGCAGCCTTTCAATACTTAAAGGGGGCCTACAAGGAAGTTGGGGATAGTCTTTTTAGCAAGGCCTGCTGCAACAGGACAAGGGGTAACAGTTTTAAAGTAAAGGAGGGTAGATTCAGACTAGATATAAGGAAAAAGTTTTTTACAATGAGGGTGGTGAAACACTGGAACAGGTTGCCCAGAGAGGTGGTAGATGCCCCATCCTTGGAAACATTCAAGGACAGGCTGGATGGGGCTCTGGGCAACCTGATCTAGTTGAAGATGTCCCTGCTCATTGCAGGGGCGTTGGACTAGATGACCTTTAAAGGTCCCTTCCATCCCAAAGCATTCTATGATTCTATGATTTATTACTTAAATCTCATTAGCTAAATTGTAAAAAACACATTTTTTAATAGTGGTATCAAATCAAAATCATATCTACAATAAAACATTATCACAAATTTATTAGCTTTCTTAAATTAAGAACATACCCACCAATCCAAATGGACTCTCTATTTTTATCTTTTTAAAGATACATGAGTAAAATTATAAGCAGCCAAACATCAGAAAGCATTTGTCATTTAAGAGAGAAATACTTAAAAACAAGAAAAGATCAATCGCAGTAAGTAAAATCCTGCAACACATGCATTCTAACCTCCTTGCTCTTTGCTACTTCTGCAATAGCAGCTGTTCTCTGCTTTTCAAACTCATCATTGTCCACAACAGTTTTTACAGTATTTGTCATTTGCAGAGTCTTTCTGCGATCAAGCTCTCTGCTATCCACTTGCACGTGAGATGCACATTTCTGAAAACGCAAAAGAAAGTTTTAATTAACTCTTCTGCTTACTCTCATTTGGAAAAAAATAAAGTATTATTCCATTACAGCAGCACAACTTTATCTAAACAATATGATCGCAAAAATGTATACCTAGGACATCTAGATGTCTTTGCTGAAAGCACACTCCTCTGGTCCATTAGAAAGGCCAAAAAGAATGACTTTTACATTTTAAACTTAGTTCATGAAGTAGCTAATATGATTCTTGTGGACCCCTTTGGCGTTTAAGAAGGGACTATGTTAGTGCCTACAAGATCTAACCAGAAGAATCAAAGGCTCCGCATACTAAATAAAATTTTAAGTTTGAAACTGAGAGGAAAAATGTTAAATATAAATTGGCACAACAAAGTGACAGGATCAACACAATGTTTTTAAAACAGGCACATTTTTTAGATCCAAGTCATCATGATCTAAGGTGTTTTGATAGCCTTTATTTGACTGGAACCAGGTCCCCTAAATATCATGATACAGGTTTTTTTATGAAATGACAAAGAGAAGTACACTATACCTGCCCAAAAGGTACAAAAGGGGGAGGGCCACCTTCTGTTCCAATGTTACTCCTATTGTGTTTTGCTAAACTCTGTAAAAGAAAATTGTTGATTAATAAATTGCAAACAAAAACCAGATTTTATGATAAATGTCTCTAATTCAGAAAGCATAAGAAACTTGCAAGATGAACATTTTAAGGATAAAACATAATGATATACTTAAAATCTTGGGGCACTTAACTTAAGGAGAAGGCTGGATGAGGGGCAGGGAGACAAAGAAAATTATGAAAATTTGGAAAATCACGAAAGCAACACATACAGCAAATGCAGAAAATTCAGTTATATACCAAAACCTACACTAACAGAACAAAGGAGCACAAAAATAGACAGCATACGTTTCTTTATGTTGCACCCAGTGAACTTGTTGCCACTAGAAGCTGTAAAGGCATACAGTTTCAGAATGTTTAAAAAGGGACCAGACCAATTCAGCCTAGAGAAGCTTATCACTCTACAGAAATACCCGAAGGGAGACTGTAAAGAAGATGGAGCCAGGCTCTTTTCAGTGGTGTGGGCACTGGGGTGACAGGACAAGAGACAATGGGCACAAACTGAAACACAGAACGTTCCCTCTGAACATCAACTAAGATTACAATTTCTCTGTCAGAGCTGAAACTAAAGCTAATTAAAAGTAATGAGAGCAGTGTTACATGGCAGTGGGAACTGCTGTGGTTTGGGGCTCATGTGCCTGCCCAGGAGCTGCTCGGGTGTCTCCAGTGGGATGGGTCAGGCAGCTGATCATGCTGCAAACTTGTCTTTTATTGGTGTTTCTCTCCATTTTTTGGTGGGGTTTGTATTTAACATGGATCAACTCCCTAATCTGTGTTACACAAATGCGAGTGCTAGCGCAAGGGAAGGATAAATGGCCTCAGGTTGCACGAGGGGAGGTTTAGATTGGCTATTAGGAAAAATTTCTTCACTGAGAAGGTTGTCAAGCATTGGAACAGGCTGCCCAGGGAAGTGGTTGAGTCCCCATCCCTGGAGGTACTGAAAAGGTGTGTAGATGTTGCACTTAGGGACATGGTTTAGTGGTGGACTTGGCAGTGTTCGGTTAACGGCTGAACTCGATGATCTTAAGGGTCTTTTCCAACCTAAATGATTCCAGGATTCTATGATTCTATCAGAAAACACTTTTTTTACCATGAGGGTGACCAAGCACTGGCACAGGTTGCCGTGGGAGGTTGTAGAGTCTCCATCCTTGGAGATATTGAAAAGCTGCCTGGACTTTGTCCTGGGCAACCAGCTCTAGGTGGCCCTTCTTGAGTAGGGGGATTGGACCAGCTGACCTCCAGAGGTCTCCTCCAATCTCAACCATTCTGTGAAATTCAGGAACCCACGCATAAGCAAATACTGAATGGATTAGTCAGGATGGTATCCCCTGACAAAACAGAATACAACAATTCTGGATGCCAACGCTGTATAGGAGTTCAAGCTGTGTGCCCTCGCTAAAAACAGTCTCTTTTTGCCACTGTTGGAAACAAAATACTGTGCCACTAGGAAGCTCCCCTATGGCCTTATGAAAAGTACAGTACATATGCTAAATTGATCAGCAGATCTTTGGATCGCAAAGACCATAACAATATGCATAACAATTACTGATACGTAATACCTATAGAAGTGCTCTAAACTCTTAGCCACAATCAGGCAATCAGTGACCTAGGCCTGAAAACAAAGCTTTCTCAAATAATACAAATTACTAGTCACCAACAACAGTAAAAAGATGAATTTGTAAAACATTGCATTAAAATATCTGTTGATAGTTGATACAATTTTTCTCTCTTTACAAATTGTGACAATAGCAGCAACCTGGAAGAGAATGACATTCACTGGAATCAACACTTGGTTGTGTTCATTATTACACAGAAGTATTTGGTTTTAGAAGTGGAAAAAGGAAGCACAGGTCCTTAATGCTGTTAAAATGCTTCAAAACTCTATTTCCTATAATGCATGTGTTGTATCATCTTCATTTCTTATTTTCCTTTTTTTCCCTCTGGGATAGTCATGGATGATTCCATATATCATTTACTACTCCCCAATGGCAAAGGAAGTTTTAATTACTTAAGGCTATATATGACATTTATCTATATATTTATTACCCTGATGTAAAAATTGATTTAATTCCATCATGTGAGAACTGTGGTATAAATGTGAATATGCTTTAAGCCACTATACTATCAGAGAATTTCTTAAAATAAGTAAGAGATTAATTTGGCTAACTACTACCCAAATCAAAACTTTTTGGTCCACTCTTTTCAAGTTAACTACTTTTATTCAGGAACCAAAGACAATTTTCTAAATCATTTATGGTTATTAATCTTTCAAGGGTGAAAAAAAAAAGAATACTTTTCCTCATATGCCTTGGAGCAAAATACACTGATAAAGTATTCAATAAATTATTCAAAACAAAGCACTTAGAAGTGCAGAAATCATAAAATTCTTCTGCTTTAGTTTCAATCAGTTCACTTAAAGCGCTGCCTTAGAATTACAAGCTAACCAAGGGCTGATCACTGTAGCACCTTCATACCTTCCCATACCTATTAACTGAAGCAGCAGAGTACAACAGTCATTTCATGGCCAAGCCACTTCACTTCCCCAGGGCAGGCACTCTAGTAAATCCTACACTTTTTTTTTTGTTTGGATCTAGAGAAACATAGGCAATTCTGGAATGAACTTTATCACTGAATCAAATGATAATAACAATATGTATACGATAGCCTAAGAACTCGAGCATTTGATCATAGTTAATTCCTCATGTCCTATAATCAGGAAGAATATGCTTAAGTTTAAGGTCACACTGGTTTTTTTCCCTTTCCTAAATCAGAATCAAGGAAACACATACAAGAAAAAGACTGTTCCAAACTACTGCTCAAACATGCAATTTGGCAAGTAGCAAAAAAAGCACTTAAAAATTGACTGCATATTTACTAACATTTAGCTACATGGATTTTGAATCATAGCAATTTATTGCATAAAATTGTTATCCAGAATGAAAGAACTCTGCCTAATGGTAAATAACAGCCTTGACACTTTCTTCTCAGGTAGCACTGTCTGCTGAGAAGCAAGAACAAGTGCTTTGGAAATTAAATTTCACTTTGCACCGAATAAAAAGCAACCTGGCAACAAGAACAATATTTTTTATCTTACAATTAAATTTGCTTGTAGCACAGCAGTAACTATCATTTACAATAAACTTTTTTATAAATACATTTAGTATGCTTCTTTTACCCTTTCTGCTGTACTTGGATTGTGACATTAAAAAAATATTTCCTAGGGAATCTCTTAAGAAACAAAGGTTTAAAATATGAGACTGAACTCCTACATATTATATACTATTACACCCTCACACTTCTTTCTAATATGAATTTTGAAGTATACATAAAACTACTCCCTTTTCCCACCAGGTAACCTCAACATTTAGCCTCGTCTTCACCAAAACAGAAGAATCATTAAGTATACTAGAGAACTTTACTTTTAGATAATCTGTAATTTGACAGGTTCTACGTTTTAAAAATATAAGGGCCTAACAAACAGTCTCACCAATCCCCTCAGCAAAATTTGCTTCAGCCTTCACTTATATATTGTCTGGTATCTTGATTAATAGCAATACAAAGTACTGTTCCTTCATAAGAAGAGCGCCAGAAATATCTCGCAGATACTGATCCTCGCTGATTGAAACGCCAGTCACCACCAGAACACTAGGAACACTATGAAGCAATAATTATTTGGAACTGTATTCTCATCTAATGAAGTCCATGACACATTACCTTATATTTCCAAATAGTCTAGAAAAAAGATCACACAGTAACATTCTCATTTACTCCTTAATTATTTATTTACTGTCACTTAAACAGTGACACTTAAAAGAAATTGAACTTTCTAGGCAAGAATTACCCTATGATAAAATTGAATGCTACAAGGAATACCACATTTATTCCACATGCAGTATGATAATACTGCATTCATTCCACATACACTGTATTTGTAGTGTGAGCCTTTCCTTACTAAAACTTGACTCCTCCCCAAAGCAATTTCAAACATTGTTATGAACAGGACAAAATGGTAATGCAACTACGCAACCAGAAGCCGACAGGTAGGTGCCAAGGCAGTAAGTTAAGACTGGACAAACAACTTTAATTCTAAAGTCTTGTAATATTATTTAACTTAATAGCATTAACTTTTTTAGTAAGTATAAAAGAAACTTATTTCATCATCTACACAAGAAGCCCAATTAACACTTCTCAGACATTGTAGCGGAGAGAAAAAAATAACTGGCTTCAAAACAAGTAGTTTCAAATAGTCACACAAATACAGGTTTTCTGTATTTTTATGTAAACACAGTTCAGCATTTCATTTAAGCTTCAGTGGCAAGATTAGACAAAGAGTGGCAATGTCCTCGCTCAAATATCTTTGAGAGTTGACAATCTTGCTTATTTGTCAACTGTTCTGGCTTCTATAGACTTGTTTGAGCCCTATCTGTCCCGCTGTCAGTCCAGATACAGAACTGGAACTACCATTTCCAGTGGTCATGGTTCACCTGTCCAAGCTGATTTCTTGTCACCCACAGCTTTTCTGAAATGGCCACATTCATGCTGGGAACCTGTTCATGTGCTGTGAGCTGGTCAATGAGAAAAAGAAAACGATACTCTGGCAAACTGCAAGATGGAACCAGAGAACTGAAGAGATGGCAATAGTTAACTTTCTGTACTTTATCTTACCAGAGTAAATCAGTGAAAACTTAGTTATCTCTTTTTTAAACATCACAGAAAGCCAACAGAACTAGCTAACAACAAGTGCTGAAAGGTGTTCTAGTCAGCAGCACACCAGTGGTTATTAAATGGTTTGCTTTCTTGTAAACAGAATATGTTCCGAGTTATTTCTTGACATTGACCTCAAAAACAAACCAATTTTTATTTGTTGAAGCCAGATAGAAGAAACATGAAAACAGACTGTCCAAAATATCACCAATAAAGCTAATTGATTCTACTGACCCTTCTCTTACCAATTAGATGGCATTCTTAAGAATGCATTACCTCTATTTGTCTCTCTTCCATCCCCATCCATCTTAAAACTTAGTGTTTTTTAACTGGAGAGAGAATTCACAAGACTTTATACTAAATATGAATAAAAATGATAAAATAGGATGTTTCTAATGTTGGCCCCAGAACCTTCTTTTTAATCAAACAGGCAGCTTCATTTAAAACCAGGAATGTTTTTAAAAAACTATTTTCAGTTATAAAAGCACAAAAAGGATGCCAAACATATTCTACTAGAGTGGACACCGTGTAACTCAAATGTTCAAATAAATTTTGGCCCAGTTTGCTCAAACCTATAAAATGCAAACCAACACCTGAGAAGGCTAGCTGTAACAAAAACAGCTGTGCCAAACTCAGCATCAGCAACAATAAAAGAAGTACTTTACACAGAAATGACCACTGTGTTCATACGCAGCTACCCTGTTTCAGAGACGTGGATGTAAAAATAGAGAGATATGCGTGTGTAGTGGTGATGATAGTTGATCCAGTATTTCGGACTGTTTGTAGCCGGGTCACAACTTCCTGCCCTACGAATTTCCACTCATTTGTCAGGAAATGTATGAAAAAGTCTTCCTGCACCAGCTTTTGTTCTATTGGGACAGGAAGCAGGCTAAAACAGAGTAGAGGGGCTTACAAGCATTTATGGCTTGTTGAAAGATTTTAACACCTCCAATTTGTTTTTCTAATCACAAATTTACCTAAAGTACTAATGAAATCTGCAATACAGAATTCATACTTAAGGTTACCAACTTCACTGCTTTCCGTATACTTACTATATTTTTTTTGCCTCAAAAATATAGTCTGCAGACGGTAATTGTAAAAGGCATCATTCTGTAATATCTTGGTACCAAACACACTGTTTAGGAAAGCAACCGCCTATGTCTGCACTAAAATAAATTTAATACATTTGATTAATGTTTTCAATCCTTGCAGACTATGAAAGGAATCAGTTCCCATGCAAAGATCACTTTCTTCATTTGCAACATTATACGTAAGACCTATTTACATATATTTGGCTGTATCCCTAAAAATATTGGGACAGTAAAGTTCTAAAAGCTTATCACATGGAAGTTCACAGTCAACACATTAAGCTTGACGTCATTAAATGTAATATGCACCCTGTAAGACAAGCATTTCCAGTGGTGTTACCTCACCCTTTGTAATTCCCACTTTTCTATAAGATGCTCCACTTCACCTCCGAGAACTGCTGTGTTACTGTCATCCAACAGCAAGAATCCATTTCTCACTTCAACAATTCCTGAAAGCTTAATTTTTGTTCCAGGTGGAGTGTTCAGGCTAGAAGTAGAAACAAAGCCAAATATTTCAAATACATTTATTAATATTCTGCCACCAAAAACATATAATATTCTACTGTTATTATACTTTTACCATTTTCATATTTTGTAATAAAAAATTAGCATCAAAAACCTTTGCAATAATTCCTTCAGTATGCATAGTACTTTTCAGTAGCTTTATTGGAACACTTCCCATTCATTACACAAAAATGCCATATTGCAAATTAGATTCTAACTGTGATAAATGTTTGCAAATTGTCTGTTTGGTTAAAATCCAATTTAACAATACCAAACTAAGGATGTGATTTGTTTAGACTAACAGAAGATGTCTCAAAGTCAGTTGTCTAAGTTCCTCATCCTAGGATGCATTTATAGTTAATAAATACAGGATCTCCAGATGGTTAATCATCTCATTTGTTTTAGACCTTTAACTTAGGAAAAAACAAAGAGCTGCTAGAAAAGAAGCTTTCTATACATTACTAACAGCCAGGACTGTACCAGAAGAAATGTAAAAAACATGCATCTATCTTGTAGCACTGCTTCTCTCATTACTCTATCATTTAAAAACATATGGATGCTCTCTGTGGTCATCTCCCACAAGGACGTACCTTACCTTCTTTTCATGTGAATCTACCCTATGAAAAACAACAACAGATGCATAAAAGAATCATGCATCTCCAACCCGTAATTGAAAGATATGACAAGCAGCACAATCTGGAAACTATGATCTTTCTTGTGAGAAACAAGGCACAGTCAGTTATAACCTTTCAACTGAGCAACAATAACTTCTTTAAAATATGCTAAAGCTATTGTGGCAATCACAGGACCATACCACACAGTGAGGAACATTTACAGCGGAGTCAGCCAATTTCAGCACTAGTAGCATTAACCTTAGCAATATTAATGGATTTTCAGTATCGTTCTGATAAAAGCAAAGAAAATGAGATAAGAAAAAATAGACAAGAAAGAAATACAGAAAAAAAATGAAAATTATGCAAAGGGGTGGAGAAGTAAATGGAAACCCTAGTCATGAAGAACTTCTAATTAAAAAGAAAACTGTGATTTTTTTATTTATTTATTTAAAGAAACACTATGTACTGAAACAGCATATTATTCCTAGTTAATAGTCCAACTTCAAACCTGAAACAACCACATACAACACAAATTAAATTTTCATTACTTGAAAAGAAGAGCTCACATCATTACTATAGAGCGATGAGTTCTCTGATGTTTTTGAGATTTTTATCTAAAAGCTTTCAAATCATGTCTCCTACTGGCTCTTCTTTAAGTATTTTGTGATCTAGAATCTACTTACACAAGAGCCTGTTTGCCTTCCTTTTCTGCTTTCTTTATATTCATGTTGAAACATGATACTCTAAGTTCTGCTGGCTCAAGTTAAAATTAAAATATCATTGTATTGTACCTTTTAAGACAGCATCACTCTAAACTGCAAGCTGGCCCCTGCTCAGAAGAAGCAGTTAAAGATCACACTTAAAAATGAAGTATATATCTATACCTAACTGTTGCAGCTACCAGAGAAAGAGAGAGGAAGATTTTTTTTTTTAAAATCAAAGTAATCTGAACTAGAGTGAGAAGAAAAGCATACCATGACTCCAGAGACCAAACATCAGAGAGATTTCAGCATCTTCATAACCAAACACACAAAAAATCCCCACGTTCAACAGTAATTAGCTCTCTTTCCTTTCATTTTTATCTGAAGAAATATTTACTAATTCAATCCAAGTTAAAGCCCTGCCCATGGTAAAGCAGCACTAGTTGCATTAAGTTAGGTGTGTCAGGCTTGTGACATTCTTGCTACCAAAGTCAGACAAAAGATCTGCTACTACTAAAAACTGGGAATTTGGCTCAAGTTTGCGCACACCCAAAATGCTGCGTGCCATGTCAACTCCGACTCAGCAGATGGCTGCAAAAATTCACTTTCTTCCATTATGTACTTCAGTATAAATGGTATTGTAAATTACATTCATATACACCTTTGCATGCTGAATTTAAGGTTCTCTTTTATATACAAAATTTGAGAAGAAAACCTGTTTTGTCAAGCAATTTTTCCATATATTACTAAGGACACTTCCATTATTTTAAGGATATTTAAGTATCAAAGCAAAACTTTGAAAAGAAAGTTGTTCACCTTATTTTTGACATGCTACTGTATTCTATAGCTGTGCAGCTTGTGTGTCCATCGGTCATCTGTAAACGTAACATTCTGGGAGCAGCCTGAGATTCTTCATTATCCTTTGGTGCAGCAACATTGCGTATTTTCTGTATTTGCAGAACACATGGCCCTTCCAGCTACATATGCAAAACAGAAAAGACAAAACTGTTAACACCATGTAGCAAACACACTGTAATATCTAGACACACTAAGAGATACCCCCAGGCAAAGGAAAGTGTAATTTGATCAGGCAGTCATGTTCAATTTCTATCACTCATGTACTGTACATTCTAAAGTATGATAAAAATGGCTTTTTCAGAGAAACAGTTGTGATGCTTCATACATCTCTGTGATATTATGGAAAAGAAGTGAATGAAAAGAGTTGGGGGGGCAAACAAACAAAACCACAAATATTGCCACTTCCAACATACTACAGAGTCCAGGTAAGATTTCGCATGTTGTACCACAGGGTGTCATTGACAAAGTGTTCTAAAGAAAGCAAGAACCAGCTTTGAAGACTATCTGGTTGTATCAAGAGTACACTTCAAGTACAACCACTTTGTAACCAGTAACAAGAAACACAGCTTCTTCCAACAGAGGTACAATCAGAACGTAACAACCTCAAGGGACATCACTATCTGTTGGTTACCTAAAAATGCAGCATATATCCTCCTATACACACCACAGTTTGTGCTACCAAAAAAAAAACCCAAACCAAAAAAACAAAAAAAAAAAAACAACAAAAAAAAACCACCACAAAAAAACCCAAACCAAAACCAACCAACCAAGCCACTTCATCACATTCCAGTCATCAGTGAGTACACGGTCATTCTGTTCCCTCTGAGAAATAAAAATGAATACTCTGTTGCCGCTCAACTGATCTCTAGCACCTGAGAGACAGCAGAAAAGATGAAAAAGTACACATTTCATCAGCTTCTTCCCTTTGAGAAACAAAATAGGTAGCCCAGAAGAATACAAAATGAGAGCAAATAACCAGCAGGTGAATATATATAAAGAAAATAGAAATGAATAAATAAAAGAATAGAAGCAGTGAAACTAGATAAATTTGGAGATGAGGATACAGGAACTTTATTTAGGATGAGAACAAAAGAGAAAGGAAAAATACTTTGGAATATCATCAAAGCATGAAATTGTACTAAGAAGAGGAGGAAAACAGTCACTAAAAGGAGCAAAAGCAGCACCATATAGAGTTCACTTCTTAAATGGTTTTGTGATCTTGACACAATAGCCAGTAATACAAACAAAATTTCTACGTAATTTTCCTATTCTTGACACTTTCAAATAAATTTAAAATTTGAAGGTATCTGCATCGTTTATGACTTCAAATAGAACCATGGAAAATACAGTATTTGGGACGGAAGATTTCTAAATGCTGAAGAAGTTATGTTTGTTTGGAATCTACTGAAACTTGGAAGCTTTCATATATCTTTTTTCTTCAATACTGAACATTTCAAGGAAAGAGCATAAATAAGAACAACAGTATTTTTAGTAAATGCTGACTGAATCTTATTTCTTTCAATAACAATTAAGAGACTAATTCTGTTTCTCATATGAATGGAATTTTTTTTCCCCTTTATTTCAAGAGAAGCAAAACTGGATAATCTAACGTACAGGATGAAAACAAGTTCCCCTCCTCTATCAGTTAACTACAGCAAAAAAGCCTCAAAAAACCAAAAAAAATTCTATTCTAGATTTTTTGTACAGAATGATTCTTTCTGTAGTAGTGAATGAACCACAGTGCCATACTCATGGGTTGCTTCAACAAAAGTCTATGCTTGTCATAAATTAACGCTAACAGTTTTTAACATTATACAATGTTTTCAAAGTAAAGATGAAGAAACACTAGGCAACTGAGAAGCATTTCTAGTTAACCACAACTAGGTTTGTCACTCAGCTGAATAGTAGCTTTACTATGATGGTAATTTCCTTCACAAATGTTGAGCAAATTCTACTTCTAGGTACTTGTGTTTGGTTTTAAACAATGGTTCGGTAGATCCCTTAGAAAATCTGGAGTGCAAAGAAATGAGGGCTAGGCTAAGTATGAATATACATGCCAATACATTCAGGGTTTTGTCTCTACAGTGTGAAGCATACACTACAATAAAGCAGAGCTGCACATCCCTTGAGCTTGGACAATAGTGTCTGCTTCTTTAACAAAGAAAATTACATGTCACTTCAGAAAACAGGTGCAAAAGAGGAATGGAAGTGTGTGGTTTTGTCAAATACACACCACATTAACACCACAATTAGTTTTATTGACTTAATCAGGACCTGAGAATATCCGCATCTCCCAGTCCCAGTCCAGCTCATCTCCCGGCTCATCACGTACAATGAGCACAGTGACAGGAGAAAAGAAAGTCAGTCTTCCTGCAGAACAAGGACAACCATCACTAGATTCCAGGTGAATCCAGAGGATCTATGCCAGTACTCCTTGAGTGGACTATTTTAAAGTGTCATTGTGGGAACCAAGACAGGAAAAAAATACTATAATAAACAAAAATTAAATCAGTTATGGTCAATAGGTACACTTACACATTTAATCAAAGAGTCAGCCAATGTGAAAACTCTTCAGCACTTAGGTGCTGAATGTCATATATAAAAAGGTGAAAAAATTTTTGTTTACCCAACAAAAATTCCTGGTAAATTATCAAGTATTCTAAGTAGTGAGACTGGTTATATCCCGACTATTAAGGTTGCAAGTTGCTTTGCATTATAAAAGCACAGCTTTCAGTTCCCTTACTAACATTTTGACCACTTCATACAGTAATGTTGAATATATCAGACAATTTCGACATCACCAAGGTTTTCCCCCTGCTCCTCCCAGGAAGCAGAAGAAATAGAAAACATTTCAAGACACCAGCTAGATCAATTTAATTATTTCTAAAAATGGACAAGATGTTTGCCTTGTGATTAAAGCAAGTTCTTTCTTTCAACACTTCTACAACCTTTACCCTTTAAAAAAAGGGACTGCAATTTGACAAAACTGTAATAATACCTGGAATTAAAGAATATATGTTATGTAAAGATTAATGGCTTTATAAAGGTTTGTGTATTTTACAATGTCTTGAAAAGGTTAATGGCTATTCAGCGTATGAAACAGATGAGAGTGGAAAAGTAATAAATTAAATATGCAGGTCATAGACTCATAGAATCGTTAAGGTTGGAAAAGACCCTTAAGATCATCGAGTCCAACCGTTAACCTAGCACTGCCAAGTCCACCACTAAACCATGTCCTCGAGCACCATGTCTACCTGTCTTTTAAATACCTCCAGGGATGGAGACTCAACCACTTCCCTGGGCAGCCTGTTCCAGTGCCTGACTACCCTTTCAGTGAAGAAGTTTTTCCTAATATCCAACCTAAACTTCCCCTGGCGTAGCTTGAGGCCATTCTGTCTCATCCTATTGCTTGTTATTTGGGAGAAGAGACCAACCCCCACCTCACTACAACCTCCTTTCAGGTAGTTGTACAGAGCAATAAGGTCTCCCCTCAGCCTCCTCTTCTCCAGACTAAACAACCCCAGCTCTCTCAGATGCTCCTCATAAGACTTGTTCTCTAGACCCTACACCAACTTCGTTGCCCTTCTTTGGACACTCTACAGCACCTCGATGTCCTTCTCGTAGTGAGGGGCCCAAAAGTGAACACAGGACTCAAGGTGCGGCCTCACCAGTGCCAAGTACAGGGGCACTATCACCTCCCTGGTCCTGCTGGCCACACTAGTCCTGATACAAGCCAGGATGCCATTGGCCCTCTTGGCCACCTGAGCACACTGCTGCCTCATGTTCAGGTGGCTGTCGACCAACACCCCCAGGTCCTTTTCTGCCAGGCAGCTCTCCAGCCACTCCTCCCCAAGCCTGTAGCGTTGCATGGGGTGGTTGTGACCCAAGGGCAGGACCTGGCACTTAGCCTTGTTGAATCTCATACAGTTGGCCGTGGCCAACGCAGATATAGAAACCCTAACAAACAGCCCATAACAGAGATAGTAGTCAAGTCCAGAACTCTTAAAACTGACAGATGGGCCACTGTGGCATAACTCAATGGCCCATCAAGTCTAACCTTTCCATGGATCTTGTGGAAAACACCAAACTTATTACAGGATGGACACCAAGGTTGGACACAAAGGGCTACACAGGTGATTAAGGGACTGGAACATTTCTCCTATGAGGAAAGGCTGAGAGAACTGGGACTGTTCAGCCTGGAGAACGACAATGGGCACAAAGTGAAGCACACGAGGCTTTGTCTGAATATCAAGAACACTTTTACTGTGAGGGTGATCGAGCACTAGGAACAGGCTGCCCAGGGAGGCTGTAGAGTCTCTACCTTAGAAGACACTGAAAAGCCATCTGGACATGGTCCTGGGCAGCCGGCTCTAGGTGGCCCTGCTTGAGCAGGGGCATTGGACCAGATGACCTCATCAGGTCCCTTCCAACCTCAACCACTCTGTGATGCTGTGACTGTTTTCTTGTACACAAGCCCATATTATAATGCCTTCATTCTTAAGTTCCAAATAGTACAGTTGTAGCTTGCTCTCTGCAGAAGTATTTACAAACTGGACAAGCAACTGCACACATGTTAAGGCCAGAATGCTATGAAAAGTGGTTCAGATGGCTTTTTAATTAAAAAAAACTAAAATAAGAGAAACAAGTAAAAAAAATAAAGAAATTGCATTTTATGTGCCATAGTAGTAGTATAAACAGCTTTCAGTGATTAAAGTCTAAAGGATGCAAATAAGTTAACAGTACAGAATTCCTCTAAAGAAAGAGGAATGAAGACTAGCTTTAACCATCATTAATCCTATAATTAATGCTCTGCCTACTTTTTCAAGGTGAAAAATCTAATAATAATACCTAATAATAGTATCTTATACTATGCCATTATAATATTCATACTGTAGGTTTTACATTAATGTATGGGAAAACTACTGGGTAAGTCAGAATCTGAAATTTGAAATAGCAGAAAGAGGCATAAGAGGAATGTCTGGAAATGGAAGTTTGAGACATACCACAACTCACTCCTTCCTCTTTATCCACAAAACCTATCAGAACACACACGACTCTTGGAAAGAAAAAAATAAATTTAAAAAAAAAAAAATCAAAGTAAACAAATATCCACACTATCATATGATAGAATATACTCAGGTCTTTCTGGACATAGTTTAAATTAATTAAAACATCATTCGCTCATGTGTCATTAGCTTATAGGCTTCTTCAATATGAAGAAACGAATCTAGGTACTTACATCGCATCATGTTCAGGAAAAAAAAATTCTGAAATATTAGCTACACACACTGACTGGAGGGCACTAGCTGATCAACCGTTGGAAATACTATCTTTATCTACAACAAATCAATAGCCTTTCTGGCAAATCCTGAAAGTCAGTAAAACTATTTTGTACCAGTGCTCTTCAAACCATGCTTACACCTACCTCAGTGTCTGCCAATTAAGACATTACTGCTCACAAACAGGGATTAAACCACCGCTGCCATCCTTAGAATGAGACGAGATGCTCCAGATCAAGCTAGGGTGACAAAATATATTGCCAGACTTGCCAATGTGATCAAGGTAGAAAATAATGTGTTAATAAATCAATCTCTTGAGATCCCTAAGTTAGAGATAAAATTTCAAACAATGCCCAATAGCTGGCTAATAATTTTCAACAAGTTTTGCAATATAGCAACTAGACTATATTCTACTCTTTTCAAGACTGTTATTGCACTGTCTTTCTAGAGACATTGGTCTGAAACCAAAAACTAGTCAGCCTCTCACAAAGATTTAGCTTATTATACCTAACTTTATATACTTTTTCTCAAAAATATGGAAGTAAACACGCCTTTTTAAGAGCTCCTGAAATAGGCGTTAGGAGCTAAGAACACAATCAAAGCACTGATCAAGGTGAAGAGCTCAAGGCCCACAGCTTACCTAAGGCTGCCAAACAGCTATTTTCTAAAAAGGCTACAACTCAGTTTGATCTGTCAGCATTACTGCACACATAGTCTTGTCCAAATCATCTCAATTGGAAAACAAACAAACAACTAAAAATACGTAGGATAATTTTTCACACAATCCATTTCACAGTTACATCAGGAGATCTGATGTAGCAATCACTCTCACTGGAAGGTAAAGACGAGCACCACAAGACTGGAGGGTTTTTTTTTTAAATGCAGATCACTTATAACTGGAACAGCAAATCTGATCATCCCTCTTAAAAAAAAAAAAAAAAAAAAAAAAGGCTGTAGGAAACCAATATCCGCAGTCAAAGAGACACTAAAACACAACAAAGCACAGTTAGCTGTATTAAATTAATGAAACAGAAATTGGGAAGCATATGAGTAACCTTAAACAGAAATTAGAATTTCTGGCAACTTATGTTTTAACTGCTTACCATCAATCTGTCAGTACTCAGAAAGCATCTCTCTGAGCTCAGAAATTAAATCCTTTCTGAATTCTTCTTCTGAAATGTTTCCATTGTAATGAAACATAAATGCTCAAAAGAAAACCAGTTATACTTTAAACATAACACCATTACTAAATTATATGTTGTAACTTTATAGTCTTCTTTGCGTTTTTATTCCATTAAAAATACTTAACATATATTTATGGTACATAGTCATCTAGATGGAAATCGGAGGGTTCAGCTTTTTCAAATCCTGTGCAAATGTGGCCATCTTGTGGTTAATGCTGGTAATACTAATCTTTTTTTAAACCCATACAAAACAGAGATATAAATGAGTGAATAAACCATTTTTGTGTATTGATGACTGACGTTGATAACCACTTACAATGGCCAAATACCCATGATGTTTCACACGAGGACTCTATGTCAGCTTTTATGCAAATATTTGCCTAATACGACAAAATACTACTATTTGCCACTAATACTACAAAATAAAGATATTTTCTATGCAAGATGGAAATACATCATATGTTCTCAAGATACAGGTAAATAATACTGATCCTAGTCTTGGATGAGAGGAACAATAGTAGCACATGATTTCTATTGTTTCCTGAAACATTTCTGAACCACAAATGACTACTTCTACTGAGAGATTATATTAAGAAGGCTCTCCTGTCCCAACCGTATCCTTTACTTGCATAAAGCAAATACTCTCCTTTATAAACACATAGTTCTGTAACGTAAAATATTTGTATACACTGCTACTCAAAAAAAAGGAAACATTACAGTTAAGAAAGCAAAGATTCAGTACACTATCTAATAGTCTGGGCTAAAAACTATAAATACAAGTCATTCTCAAACACCGACTTTTTTCTGTGCAATCTTCTTTTCAAAACCTGGAGGATTATCATCCTCCAGCAAATGGTTTGCAGGTGTTTGTTTTGGTTTGGCTTTTTTTAGAATAATTTTCTGAGATCTATGATCCAAATAAAGACAGTTGATTAAAGTAAGACCAAACTAAATTTTACTGGAAGTTCACATGTAAAAAATCCTCGCTCCTTAACAATACTGATAGAGCTATGTAAGTCCCTAGGATTTAACAAATATCATTTGTTAAACAAACATTTGTCTTCGTTAAAGACCATCAGGGGCCACAGTCATCTTCTGTCCTGCCCGTTTCCTCCAGCTTCTCAAAATTCCTTCTGCTGTTGTCAGGAATCATTACCTAAGAGAAAAAAATACCCTTTTCCTCTGTATTTTCACTCTTTAACTATTAAAAATGGAAGGAGCCTGTAAGCACTGATCTCTCTCAACTATCTGACAATCTGGGAAACAGAAACACTTCGAGTCAAACAAACTTTCAAAAAGGAAGTTTGGATTGGACTGGATTCCTGCAGCATTCAATCCTATTATCCAGTCCTCCATCAACTCTAAGACAATCTGTCGCAAATGGGCATTGCTCAGAGGCCAAAGCCTTGACAGGAATCCCTGTGATCATAAGGTGGTCCAGAGGAAGGGGAGGGGGGGTGCATCACCACACAATCCCATGAAGAAATTTATCAAGCTCCATTCAGAAACAGTTCCTTTTTTTTTTTTTTTTTTAATTTAGGATCCTACATAGATACTGTTTTGTACTTCCAGTAACATCCCTCATTTCTGTGCATAGGCTTTTTATTTTGTGGAAACAAATGGCAAAATTGCACCTTCTCCAGTTTGAGCTGAGAAACATGAACAATTCAAGTGGTGACTTGAGCAGCTAAACTAGAAGCAATCACTTTAAAGCGTGTAAGTAGATTCTCATATATAACGTCCATCAAAGCTTTGAGGAAATTAATGACACTTTTACCTTTAATTGACCACTTGAACTACATAATGACAACAGAAATTTAGAAAACATTCTCTCTAAAGGAAATGGACAAGTTACTAGGTATATTCCCAAGCGATGAATGAAAACTGAACAACTACCTCTAAAGAAATTCTACCATAATGCAACAAAACTCTGAAAAAACAGTACAATTAAAGTCACTTTGAATTGAAATCATGTTTCAACAGCAAAACTAAATAAGGCAAGCATTACCACACATACAACCTTAATACACTCGAGAATTACATTTAACCAAATATATTTGGACCTTGTGAATATTGCATGATCTGAAATGAAAAATTCAGTAATACTCCAATTAAGCAACTGAGAAATGAAGAGTGCAAAACCAGATGCCATAGAAAGCAATTATTTTGCTTGTTTTTTGTATTTCAAAAACGGGATACTGAAGAGGAAGAAAAATATTAACATCTTAGATATACAAAACAGCTAAATCAAATTCTTTTAAGTGGTAAAAAGTTATTTAAGCACTGAAGTATCTTGAACAGCATGTTATCCAGAAACCTAAACAGGTAAACAATCAGATTTTTTTTTTTAAGTAATATCTGCAAAAAACATAGCTCCACATAACAAGAAATAAAGTTAATAAAACTTTTCCCAGAAATTTTAAGCAATATGTTGCATGCACAGACTGCTGCCTCGCTAAAAACTATGATCCTGCGATATACTCTCTCTCAAGTGGGCTCTTCATATCTGACAATAATGTTCCCGCTGTTGTTCTTGTAGAAGCCAGTGTTTACAGCAGTCACCGTTCCATTTAGACAATAGGATCAGCAGAAAAAAAACAAATCCCAACAACTTGTAACAGCCCCTCTCATCAATTTTGCTTTCTTAAAACAAACCTGCCTTGATTTATCACTATTTGAATTTCAACAGTAACGAAATGTTTCCCCAGAACTTTCACATCAGTGATATAGACTGTCAATATTTGGAAGTTAGGGATAACAATTTGAATTGAGAACTACTACTAGGTGAAAATAAAATTCCTTCATTTATCCACTCTCTTAACCACATGTAAGGAAGAAAACAGGAAGGCTGTACTGAAGGGGCCAAATTTAACTTTTATCTAGACATACAACATATGTTAAAAATCTAGCACATCCAAGTTTCAAGTATAATAATATTCTGCAGTATATAAAGTGTTATACCATCTAACATGGTTTATCCACTTAACCTGTAGGATACACAGTCATAGGAAATTACATGAAATGTATAGCTATAATCCTGAATATAAGTAAGTCAAGTAATACAGCATCAACATATATCACTATGTATCATAATCATACAGCTGCTTTGCTTTATTCCTAACCTGCTTTGTTGCACTCGCAAGAATAAAGCAGGGGAAAAAAAAAATTAACTTCTCATACCACGTCAAGATCAAACAGGTTAAATTACTTTTGAGTGATAAATTAAGTTGCTAGGATTGTTCACATTTATTTACACATTTCAATGTTGAGAAATGTCCTCTCTTTATGAAGCCTAATGGGTAAACTGCTATATTCATATATTTATCCTATAATGCACTCAAATATTATGTTCTTTTGTAAGTGAAATAATGACAAAACCAGAGTAATGCACCATAGAAGGCTGTCATCACACAGAAATCACAGAACACAGAAAAAGTGAAGTAAAAATATTGTCTACCTTTTCCACCTTTCCACCATTGATGTCACTGGGGAGGAATTTCTTGCCAATCGTTCTTAAATCTGTCTGAAATTAATACAGAAGAGAATATTAACCTAAAATATCCTGTTTCAAAAAAAATTATCATCACAAAATAGGAAAAAGAAGGGTATTTCTTCCATAATGCCAACTATTTATAGACTATAAAAAACCATCCCACTAACTGCATATGATGAAAAAAATTCAACAACTAAAAGAATTTACAAAAGAAATCCTTTTGCTTTTTAAATTATCTTCCTGTTTTAAGCACATTTTCAAAGATGATTAAAATGCTTTTAATAAATGAAACAAAATGACTAAGTAACATTTAATTATTAGATGTAACTCTGAGGTTTAATAGAAGTAAACGTCTTTCTTCATTCTCCATCTGGCACTTAGAGAAAAGCGTTTTTAGTTTGTGTGTTTTTACATGCACAAATCCTTCATAAAACGTTGGGATGATTTTTGCAATTATACCTGGACTAAAAGCTTACATCATATTTCTATTAAATGCTTTTTAACTTAAATGCCTGATTACTTCTTTTGGAAGTGAGGCAGACAGCTGTATGACATTATTCAGCAACTGTGCAACATGGCCACCGACAACATAAACTGAAGAATTCATATGATCAAAGGAACAAATCTCCACAAAAGCACTTTACTCACCTAACACTGTTTGGACAAGTACATCAATCAGGGTGATGTGTGACAAAAGGATGCACTGGATGGCTAAAAGGCGCAGTATGTGAAAATAGGAAATGGAATAAAAAACTAATCAAACTTAAACACATGAGGTTTTTAGTGCATTTACATGTGTTAAGAAAAAAAAAAAATAAAGCACATCAGTGCAGCCTAAAACACTCATGTTTTCTAAACTCCATTGCTTGAAATACGCCTGTTGTTTTAAATAGAACATGCTGGTGCAGATTACTGTACTGAAGCTGAAAACCCTCCTTATTTATTATGACCATAAACACTTCCAAAAGAAGAAGAGCTAAATGTAATTACTAGTAGAACTTGTACACTAACTTGCCATTAGTATATGCCAATGGACTATTGGTCCAGCATCCTAGTCTAGAACTGAGCAGCAATATATTTCAGTATCTAAAACATTGTAAACAAGTGGTTTATGCTCTTTTTCAGCGAGAAACATTTGTACCCTACAAATAGAAAACTAATTGTAGGGAAGCTTGTTTAGCATATTTACTCTGAGTATCTACAGAGTGGATAAATGCTCAACCCACTTTCTGTTGCACAAGATAGCCATAGATAGTGGTAAGAAAGCACATTTGGTTTTCAGTCTCAGTCCACCTGAGGGAACTGATCTGTCATCTGTCAGTTATTTATCTCTGAACAGCACACAGGCTCCTATAAACTGTTCCTGCATGTTCCATATCCATATAACTGACAGGTCTCCAGCAAGGTGCTTTGCAATCACAGCAACAGGAACGGGACACAATTCTTACAAACTCTTTGCAAGATCTTATATAAAATAAAAACATTTGAAGGACTGAAGGTACATTTATGTCTATTTCATACTTATTTAAGCAGTTTGCATACCAAAAAAAAAAAAAAAAAAAAAAAAAGTCAGTTGACTCTCAGTTGACTCCTTGGTTTCTTCTGCCTGAAACATGTCCCTAGCAGTCAAGAAAAGAATTTGTGAATTTGTAAGAAGTGGAATCTAAACTCATTGTTATCCTGTCATTCAAGCCACACTGCTATTCCCTACTTACCCAACAGGCAACTTAATCTTCTGGTCATCAAAACAACTGACTTAATGACAAAAAATATTGATAAGCAATTAAAACTGGCTTTGGAGTACTTGCATAACATTTCTGGTTTATTGTATTTTTATTATCTATCAAACAAACCAGAAATACAACACACACATGCACAAATGATCATGTTAGTGGTTGTTCCAGCATCTAATTACATGCAGGGTAATACCCAGCAACTTGCAAGTATTTTATTTAGTTTTTTATAAAATACCAATGCATTCTCAGATATATATAGGCAGGAGGCAGGCTACTACAGTCCAGAAACCAAATGCTTATCCTCTGCATGTTTTGTATTACATTCTTTGCATTTTTGCACTATAATTTTGCTTTACTTCTTTTCATGACATGATTTGGTGCATCCATACATATGAGTGATCGAACACATGCTTCAAAGAATAAATGAAAGGAGCAGAGGGGATACTTTTCTCAGGGTATCATCTTAAACCAACAGTGGTTGAATCTCGAAGATGGACAAAATAATCCCCAACAATTCTCGTTCACAATTTCATTAAAAAAGAATACTTTTCTCTTAAGCGCTCTATGATGTTGTTTTCCCTCTTGGAACTACATATAGTTATTACAAAGGATGAAGTTTACATAAATCCATATACAGGGCATGCAAAGTTTAAAACTTCTGAGTATGGATGACCGAGAAGTTTTAAACAAAGAAAATGTAAAATTCTCAAAACTCTCCCTCGTGATTTTGATAGAATATATTAAAAATAAGTAACAAATACATGGATTAAGTAGCTGCCCTCTTTTCATTGTTACTGAAAGGGACCAGACTTACTAATGTTTACCAACAATGTATATATTAGAATTCTGAAAAACAGCAATTCACAAGCCCACTTAGAAGAATTAAGGTTTATTGCTTCCAAGTTGTTTCTCTATCTTGTATATTTTTGTATTTATTTGTGGGCAGGAATAATAACTACTAATCCAGATTTCTGTTTGTAGTTACATAAATATGTACACAACAGGAAAATTCACCATTAGTTTGAATATGCTTTAAGGAGTATCATGTCCAGAAGTCAAACTAAGGAAGGGTGTTTTACTCATCCCAACAAACTCGTATTTTGTACCACAATTTCATACCCATGTCAGTACACAGCACTTCTGATTTTATTACTGCTTGTACTTTGACTTTAGATTTACGTTTCATAAACATAAAAATATTTTCCTACTACAAATCGTGTTCTTTTTTCTACTCCAGGTTTCACAGTTTGGAATAGGCGTTATTTCCAAATAAAATTCACAACCTATACACATAAGGAGAGAGAGAGGTACTCTGTCCTTTATGTAAATCACATGGACAACAGTATACTTAATTAGCCACACAAACCTACACTTAAACCATTAGATATATCATTTCTAGCATCTTTTGTCAGAAAAAAGTTTTCATAGTAATAACTTACATTAAGGGCAACTAGGATAATGTCATTTGTATTAACTTTTTCAGAGGAACTTATGCAAGCTTCAATTCCTTCATCTGAAAGATACCTGTTAAAGAAAAAAAATAATATTAGAACATCACATGATGTAGCTATTAGGCAAACATTTTTTCTGGATATTATTGCCTTTAGGTTGTATCTTTTGTGCTGGTAAAGCATAGATTTAAATATACTTGGAAAATGACTTCATGTAATCAGTTTCCTTACACTGAGATGAGACTGAGCAAGAGATTTCTTCTTCCATAATTTCTAAACAAAAAAACCCAACCAACCAACCAAAGAAACAAAAGCCCTACTTACAAAGTAACAACAGCCATCATCCCGATTATGTCGAAGAAGGTAACACTACGTTCCCTCATGCCCGCTCCCCCAAATTATAGGAACCTGGTTTCAAAATCAACCATTTGGGCTTTACTTGAGATAAGTGGCATACTTTCACTCATGCACTTGCAAGGAAAAAACAAAACAAAAAAAATCCATCCCACACACAACACAACCACATCTGTTTCTAAAGAGCAAGACCGTACAGTTAAGCCCTCAAGGGCTGGGGCACGTAACACTGCCATCCTAGAAAATGTATTCCTGCCTGCCTGGGCTACAAAGAAAATGGTAAAAATGGAAGCACATTACAGCGTATCAATAGTCAAATATGGTGGAAAAGTTAAGAACAGAAAATCTCCTCCATAATCACATTTGGAAATGCATTTGTGACCCCTATGGTGGTAATCCAGGATCAATATCTTCCTGCAAAAAATTCTGTGAGCATACAATAAATTTGTTCCTCTGAAAACTAAGTAAGTTTTAAATGTATTCAGGTGATCGATTCAAAAGGGTTTACCTAGTCTAACCTCCAAAAACACTTCAAAAAAAAAAAAAAAGATCATTTTGACTTGAGTGGTCAGAAATTGTGACATTTGTAATTCACTTTGCCTAATATTTCCTATTGAAGCCCCAGTTTTCATTTTTATGTAGCTGGCAATCTGCCTTCTCTGCACAGCTCATTTTATTTAAATACATCACAGCAATCATTAAATAATTGATATTTGCTAGATACTCAGTCTGAAACACAGTACTTGCCCAAATAACATTTAAATAACTACTACCAAGAAATCGCCTTTCCCCAAAGAATAAAAGAATGATTTAAAAAAGAAAGCTTAATATACATTAAGAAATATTAAAAATAAATATTCCTGAGTGCTTCAAGAAATACTTCTTTTTAACGAAAATAACATCACAGTGTAACATATAAACAAGGCAAAATATTTGATGGAAAGTACACTTAATAGGCCTTTTTGATTCTAGCCCAGGTAAAATTAACATCACCCACCCCAGCCCTGCCAGCATTTCCATACAAATTCATGATCCCAGTTGTGCTCTAACCCAGAGACTTGATGGGATCTAAATGTTCAAGTCAGACACTGACACCTAGAAAATCCTGACAGACCAGACCACCATCACCAAAAAAAAAAAAAAAGAAACAAAACAAAAACAGCCCAAAACCCAGATGTACTGAATGGGAAAAAAAAAAAATGCATATATAAAACATAAGAAGAAACAATCCTATTTTTTATATAAAAGGTAGACGCTTGAGAAGAATAAGGTGGCAAGATTTGGTGGCTTGCATGGAAATGCAGGATTTCCCAGCTGAGCGACTCTGAGCTCGAGTACTATGACCTGTGAAGATTCAGGTAACTACTGTGAATTAGCAGATCTCATTAGCTGCAGTCAGAAGGTAAAGTATAACAGCATTCCCACTCTGTGCCAGAGGAAACTTAAACAGATACATCCTCCAGGCACTATCCTACTCTTGAGGCTTCAACTGTGGTTTAATTACACCAACAAGACTTCCTAGAAAGAGCAGTATCATAAACTCTACAAGTTTACCTTCTGTCATCTTCAGTGTAAAATTGAATGTAAGTTCAACACCAGGGGTTAGAGGGAGTACAAAATCTGAGTTTTAGACTGTTGGGCAAGTCGTGGAAAGATTCCTCCTCTTCTGCTCCTAACACAAATGAAGTCATTCTTCAAATTCTACTGAAGCTAGCAGGACTGCAGTTCTCCTCTGGGGTTACTTAGCCTAGTATTTAGACATCAGCACTACCGTTTTCCATCAGGAAAAAAATGTTTTTAGAGAAGGAATAAACAAGAAGCTGACCCAGAATTAAATTTTCCCTATATAGGACAAGATTAATTCTGCTATCACAAAATTCACTGCTGAGTCATGTTTTACTTTCTTACTTCAAAGTGAAGACTGAATCACAGCTGTCAAAATCCCACTCTGCTTTACTCAAAATTTTCAATTTATAACTTTTTGTATGAAAATTTATATATAAATTTTCAGTTTCGTTTGTCTCACTACTTCGGAGGGTTTTTGAGACAGAAGGATGAAGAGAAACCTACTGGAAAAGACTATTCATTTTTGACATCTGCTAATTGAAAAGCAACAGCACTTACCAGAAACATTGCCCACCGGACTGAAATCTCTGCCAACATAACAGAGGCACCAATCATGAAATGCCATTGGGGACATCTGTTATTTTGATTTAAGCAAACACTAAAGCTTTTCACCAAAAGATTTAACATGGTTATTAAAATAGTATTCAAAAAGCAAAATCTGTGAACATCAAAGGGGGGGGATATTTTATAGTTTGGGGTCGGTTGGTTTGTTTTTTGTAGATATTTATTACATGAAAGCATAAATTACTTAAATGCATAAAAGCAGGATCAAAATTACTTTCAAGAAAAAAGATCAAATCAACAACTATGCTGAAGAACTTCAGCAGAGAAAAAAACAAAATTAGCAGAGATTTCCAGTAACGCATCAGGCATTGCTTCTGTGCAAGAGGATGTGAAAGTACAGATTTCATCAGAAATGGTCAGGAATTGATTGGGGAACAAACTGCAACCAGGAAACACTGTACACCAGAATTAGCCAAAGCACAGATTTCTCCTTCTTTAATAGAAGCCTGGAACTAATACATATCAAGTCAGTCTTTTCCATTTTGCCCTAAGAACTCTCTTATACAGACTACTTTATACAGCAATGAGTACTCCAAATACATGCTTAGATTTTCTTTACAACCTTACAGAAAGTTCTTATTTAAAATAAATTATTTTATTTTCTCCTCATTGTCTAGACAGTCTCCTATAAGAACTACTTAAGTTTTAGTTTTGCATATTTCCTGCTACAGGCCCACAAATTATTTAAGAAAAAAAAAACAAACAAACAAAAATGACAGTAGGAAATTTTTGTTTTAAAATAAATGTATTTATACAGAAGAACATATATCTATGTCTCTCAAATATGAAAAGGGAGTTACAACAGGCAAAATTAACTCTTCAGCTGGCATAATCCTTCCCCCCACAACATATGGATTAAGTCCAAAATTCTTCTTCCAGGCTCTGAAGGAAACAGCGTCTCCTTTTCTATCTGCTTTTAATAAGGGCACATGATGTGCTGCAGGTAGGACCTTTACAGCATAAGGTCACTCAATCTTTTTGTTTTCTATATTAGATGAAGGAAAAAAAATCTGACCCTGAACAAAACCAAAGACAGGAAAAACCTCCTCTGGAGTCAAAGAGAACAGCCTTGCAGCTCTGTCTCTCTATTATATTCGAGTGCCTCACAACATCCACGTCACCCCTTCTGCCAGTTTTGCAAAATACCACAACCTGTCACAACCTCAGATAATGAAAGCTGAACTACAGTGTGATCCTATTATATTAATCCAACACATTTCCTATTGCCAAGGGGTAGGAAGCAATCCTAAACCACCCATGAACCAGACCACACTGCTGGAAGCAGCTCATGAGCTCCCAGTCCCCAAGAGGGACCTGGCGGTGCCTTACAAGCAGTATCCTTGTCAATTCTTGCTCTCCATACCTCCATACCTCCATCCCAAGCTGTCACCACCTTTTCTATAAAAAGCAAGGGGGCCCAAGGAATAACCTGGCACAGAAATGCTGCTGCCACAATCAACAAATTTCCCTTCGTCCTTCCTGTAAACAAACACTTCAGAATTATGCACTTTTGCTTAAGGTGAAGGAGCGAATAAATAAATGGTAAAATAAACGGGTGAGAAGCATAGAGGGAAAAGCAGCCAAGCTCCACAAAGCTCTCTAAGAAGTCAAAGGCTAGCCAGTAGCTGACCACTGACATCTTGCACTGACAGCAACAAGACAAATTACTTCCTTAACATACAATGCAGATAATATTACCCTGGAAGATAAGCCTGAAAGACTTAAAAGCAGGCAACTATGTTCCAGCTAGCAGCTTAATTTTTGGTTTTATCCACCAAAATCGAAAGCATTGTAGAGAGATGTTTGTATTTTCTAGGAAATTAAAAAAAAAAAAAAAAAAAAGTTTAAAACCACCACAAAAAAAAACCCAATACACACACACAAAACCACATTGAACTTCCCTCTGTGAGGACTGATAACTAGAATAACATACACTGCAAGCACCTTTGGTTTCCGAGAAAAGAAGTACTCACTAGACTTCTTTCTTGCACATTTTTAAAACAACCTCAAAAGTTATAAATTGAAGTAATGCAGACAATTCAACTGATTTCAAAGGAATTATAGCAAGTAATGCTGCATGAGTCACATAGGGATTTTGTGGCCTTGGAACATTAATACAATCCACCAAAAACGAAAAAATTTTAGAGGGAGTTTTTTTGTTTTTTGGGAAATAAAAAAAAAAAAAAAAAAGAAGTTTAAAACCACCACAAAAAAGAACCCAATACACACACACAAAACCACATTGAACTTCCCTCTGTGAGGACTGATAACTAGAATAACATACACTGCAAGCACCTTTGGTTTCCGAGAAAAGAAGTACTCACTAGACTTCTTTCTTGCACATTTTTAAAACAACCTCAAAAGTTATAAATTGAAGTAATGCAGACAATTCAACTGATTTCAAAGGAATTATAGCAAGTAATGCTGCATGAGTCACATAGGGATTTTGTGGCCTTGGAACATTCACTTCAATTAAAAAAAAAAAAAAAAAAAAAAAAAAAAAAAAGGAAATAAAATCAGTT